TCCCTGACATTGCCTTTACCACCTCTCAAACTCTACCCTGTTCTTAACTACCCTTCAACCACTCCCTGGACTTAAACACTCCTTTACTTTAAACCTCACCATTCCCCAGCTTTTACCCTGACCCCACCTATCCCCTTATCCTAACATAACAATTTCCCAACCTTTACCCTGACTCTAACTACCCCATGACCCTCAACCTGACCCCAACCATCTTCCTTCTGCCTTTACAGTGGGCTGCCTACCTCAACCACCTAGGGTGTGGACAGTCACCTGTCCTTTTCATATAAAATGTTTTCATTATTACATACATAGATCTGTTCTAGAGCTACAGGCCAACACTTGTTAAGTGCACATACCCACCTGAAACAGAGCCTTACCTTAGCACTTGAACTTCTTACCTATACCAGAAATACACATATCATCCATACATACACACAACTATACATACCCTACCTGTCACACTTATCTCTGATTCACTGATTCAACCTTTCTTCCCCTCTAGGTCTCTCATCACACATGACCACAAACCAGCTTTCAGCCTACCAGGAATTAAAGATAAAGCTTTTATGGGAACTGCAATGTCTGTTTATTGTCCACATGGTCCGCCATATGACCCCATTGCATTCACATTGAAGTTTTTTTTTTTTTGTTTTGTTTTTACGTTGCATATGTCTTACTCAGTTTACATCATGTTACTGCATGCCCAGATGTTCAACCCTTAGCACTTTACACCTCAGCATATAGGTAGCACTTACAGGGCGAGACCCTACATATTCAATTATTTATTCAGTTGATTATTAATTATTTATTTATTTCTTCTCTACACTATTTAATGCCATTGTTAATTCTACCTTATACTTGTACTTTTTGAGATTATACCTGTGTGGAGTGTATTTTACGATATTAATATACTAATATTTTACCTTTGATCTCATTTATACCTAAATACCTATACATGGGTTGCAATATTATTGTTTTTCTTATTAAAAAGAAAGTATGTGGGACCTGTCCTTTCCCTCTGGGTGGGAACATGAATTGAACCTACATGCATAACAATTTATTTATCAAATCATATTTATTATTGATAACATGACATTTTTCTGTTAGCTATCTTACTGCATGTTTTATGTATTGTATAGCCCTCTATGAACTTTTAGCAGTTATATTCATAAATTCACCAGGGATGATATAGTTTTTATAGTCATATTTTTTAACCAGACATGTCCAGATGTGTTTGTGGCTACTAAACCAGGTAATTTAAGCCAAAACACGATCTTTACCTAACCCTAACCAAGTGGGTTTGTTTATGCTTAAACCTAACCAAATTAATCACAGTGTTTCTACGTAAAGAAAAGTAGTTTCAGCATATCCGCTGGTGTCATGTTCCTTACATTAAGAATTAACAGGAACTGCTTTGTTATGTGTTTGCTTCAACACTGATGGTATTTAGACATATACTATGAAATCCCTACTGGCTTGTTAAAAGTGAGCATTGAGGGCAAACTTTTGGAGGCAGCTCCTTAATGAGGACAGCTATAAAAGCACCCTGCGGACCGCCAATGAACACACAAACCTGGCATCCACTTTAATTACTGATAAGTTGTGAGCCAGCTAAAGGCAGCGGATTTCCCTCCCCCCAGAGCCCCTAATCTGTTTAAAGCCGACTGCTGATCCTAACTGCCGAGTCGGAGGATTCGATGGCAGGTGCCACTGTGAAGTCCCAGAACAGACGCTATCAGTCTTGCATCCCAATCTCCACATCTCCTAGGGACTGAAATACAAGTTCACCTCTATGTGTCCAACTTTCTGGCACTCTCGATTATTAGGAAATCTGCTCAATCACACATTGTGTGAAATCAGAAGACGCTCCAAGAAGTAATTATAGTCAGGCACAGAGCTTATGTGTTCTGGGTCCCTTTCACTGTGTAGGCAATGTGACGCTTTACACAGACTGTTTACATGCACTCTGTTTGTACACTATACACATGAGAAATATGGGGCTGCTTAATTTGTCATATCACACACCAAGTAATTAATTGCTTATTTCTGCAGCCTCAAGAAAAACACAATTTTATGAAGTGGTGAGATGAATTGGAAAGAATGGACCCAGACACACAATGATCTAAATACTGTACTGAAATGTAGGGCAAACTGTTTAACTAAAAATGTAACTATAAATAGAAAGCCCTATATTTGAGAGTCTGAATTGTTGCTGAGTCTGGAAAATGATCAAACACAGATAGTGGTGCAGAATATCTGAATATTAGGTTATTGTGCTTGCCACAGGATTGTGGATCCAGAATAGTTTCCTTCATTTTCTTGTTGTTTTTTCCTCCAGACTTCTTCAGCACTTCTACACAGAAGTGTGAGTGTTTGCAGCATGTGTTTGCCAGTCTTGGTTTTGTTCAGTTTGGTGATTTGATTCCAGAACTGTCATAAGGATTGGAACCGATGGTATAAAATCTTTTAAGTATGTAAAGCTGTGGTTTATCACAACTTCTGTTTTATCTTGATAGCTCCAGCAAAAGTAATATCCATCGTGATAACATTGTATCATAACCAATAGAAAATGTGTCTCAAGCTATGAAAATAAAACTCAAGTTGTGGTAAACCAGTTTTCCTTTATCTGTAAGTGTATGGTGGTGAGGATTTTACCAACCCACTAACCTAGTTGCTACTGTGAGAGTTGTCAGTCTCTGTAGATTAGTTTTAGAGGTGCACATTGCTTAACAAGTAACTGGCATCATGAAAGCCCAAGTCGCTCAGGGTTGTCTTTAGTACCTGTGCAACTGGGAAAGCAGCAAAAACAGCTAAGAAAAAGATAGTTGGTGAACTCCAGGGGATTGTTTTAAAGATTGCATCATACTGTGTCTTGAGAAATTTACCATCATCAGTGTCTCTTACGGGAAAAGTATGTTTTTTCTGGCATTACTCAAGTAGTGAAATCCAATCCACAACCCCTACAGCAGTAATTTTATTCATATTGAATGATTCTATAGCACAAAATTAAGTCTACTAAAAGTGAGCCGGTACTGGCATTTTTTCATTGTACTCTTTGTTGTATTGTGACTTTTTCTATGTTATAACACTTATAGCATGCACATTTTCTCTTGCTATGTAAATGTCATCTTGACGTCACCATTGCTGACACGTGTCCAGTGTAGTAGTAGTAGTAAACATGTCAGGAAATGATCAACAGGATTTGTCCGTTCTGCAGGGAATGGTGGCGAGAAAACCAGTTTAGCACATACATAGTGAAAATTAAGACCCAGAGGTATCTTACAAATATAAATTTGTGTTTGTATGCTGTTGAGCTCCACATGGCTGTCTGCATGTATCTGTTCTCCATCAGTTAGCATAGCTTTCACGTGTTGTGTTGTGCATGCTAGTTGTGGTCTTTAAGGAACACCAAAGCACCAGCAGCTCATTTGGAACATTTTTAACTGTCTAGATTTGGGAGCACAACTTGATTACTTAACTTGTATATATATATAATATTGTATAAATTATATGTCTGCTTGCTGTCAGTAAAACTTTTGCTGCGTTTTTGACCCTCAGGGGTCAGTGCACAATTAAACACAGTCCTCCCCAAAAATCATGCACCCTGTGTTCAGTCAGATGTCAGTCGACTGTGGTCTAATGTGTCAATTCCATTGATCAGATTTGCCAACTATGTGTGTGTAATCAGTGTTCTTGCCAGTGGGGAAGGACACAAATGTGCCAGCTGCTACATCTGGTACGTTTTGATAATATCATTATCTTTTCTACATTATCTTAGTTTGAAATCAACATAGAAACAGTTGCTTGACTTAAATATTGTTGATTAATTATGAAAACAATTTGTTACATGCTTTTTTTTTTTTAGCTGTGTTACAGTCATAGCTCACGCTGTTACAATTAAGACTCACATGCACTTCATTTGTAACATCAGACGGGGTCCACTTTCAGTTTAATTCCTCATGACTTGTTTTCTTTATTGAAAAATGTTAAGTGGCAGACACATGTAGGTTGTTTGCCTGAAAATATTACATTTATAGTTAAAAGAAATCTCTGAGTAAAAGAGTGAAAAGTGAAACCCTACAGTCCTAACACATGTTGTTTGAATAAGATATTGTAACCGTCCACAATACAGTACGCAGCAGTAAATTCAATTCTTTTCATGTTGCCTAATTCGTCCGTCAAGCCTCTAGGGAACTGGAAGCAATGTTGTATTTTAGTGCAGTACTGCACACTGGAGCCTGGTGTTGTAGTCTACCTCCTTTAAACAGCTGACAGGTGTAGTGACATGTCATTCCTGACTCATCAAGACTCACAGAAAGAACTCACACATACTAACATTCAATTGATAAAATTTACTGTATTCTTTAATTCATATGTACATCTCCAACCCTCACCTTCCCCCCCAAAAAAAGAAAATTTCAATGAATACTTTTAATATATTTAGTCAGTTTTACAGCTTCTGTACAGGATTGCTGTTTTCAAGAAATTCACATCTAGGGCAGCAACATCATTTTCTTTGTTAGAGGAACCAAGAACGAGCATAAATGGAGTGAACAAGAGGACTTAGCAGGTAGGGGGTAAACACACAGCTCATGGGGGGCATGTACAGAAGCAGCGCAATTGGGATAAACTATGTACAATACAAACCATTCATACAAATTAGGCTCTAAGATATAGAATCCAATACATTACATTTGATATATTAAGTGACAATGAGCAAGCCCCATCCCCCATGAACAACCTACTGATCAATCAATCAGGTAATCAGACATTCAGTCAGCTGAGAATGACCCAATCACCCAACGAACTCAACAGCTGTACGAGCAGGAACACTGACGACAGCTGAAGATCGACAGTGTTACAGTATCTGAGTGCATTTTCTCTCCTGACTGAATGGGAGAAGCCTGCTCAGATCCAGCTCTCCCCTACATAGGTAAGACCATCGAAAAGCATCAGACTCACATTTATATCTTCACTGTCCTCTTCAGCTGCCTTGCAGGTTTTGTAAAAACGTCTGAGGATTTTTTTTTTTTAATTCTTTTTAAATGAGGAGTTAATTTTGTTTTCCAGTTATGCAGGATAAACTGCAGAGCATGAATAGCACAGCAGGGGCAAACAGTCCATATGTTGTTGTCCAGAGAGTGAATGCGTTGTATATAAAATATGATAAAAGAAGAAAACAAACTTATTAACATACTAGTTTGAAAACAAAAGGTGTGAACTAGACATAGAGAAAATGACAAGGGACAGAGTTTAATAGCGATTTCCCAAAATGACAAAAAAGCCCTGCTATCTACACATGGTTCAACAGGGAGAAAACATAATTCAGGAACAAAATTATAATAATAAATAGTGGTAATCAGTTTTTCAGGTCATTTTTAAGCATATTACAGTCATATATATCACCTTTTTAACTGTTAAAAGTAACTGCTCTTTGCAAAATTCAGAACATTAAATCAGGAAATCAGTTGGGATGGTTGACACTCTGGAATTTAGGGACAGTACGGCTAACATACACGTTTCTCTGGGATGGTAGAAGCCCCAGTCTGTACTCCACTCGTCCACTTTCTGTATGCGAGTGTATGGGAACATCAGCCAGAAGGGAAGTAGGGAGTGTCACTGTGGTAGTTATAGTCTGGGCACACTTTCTGCACCAGTTTGTAGTCGGTGCTGTAGAAGGAAATGAAGATGCAGATGACTTTGAAAGGTTTGGAGCAGAGCCAGGAGACGTGGCTCTGGGTCTGCTCCTGGTAGCAGGTCTTGGACGGGTCGAAGTTGCAGAGCGTGTTCTTGGCGCCCTTCTCCACCTTCTCGTACTCTATGCGGCAGTTGAAGGACTTTGAGTCCTTGGCGTCAATGACAGACTGCTGCGCCGCCACGTCGAACTCCACTATCTTGGTTGGAGGGACCAAGCTGACGGATACGTTACCCTGGCCTGTGGAGTTGTGGCGGAAGTAGACACTGAAGGTGCCGTTGCCATGATCCACAATCTTACCAGTGATCAGAAGGTTGAGTTTGACCGTCTTGATGTTGGAGTGGAAGTCCCCCCAGCCGAACATCTTCTTGAACTTCCCCGTCTTAACCATTGGCCGCCGTTTAGCCCGCGGCCGCGAGTCCTGCAAGTCTGTGGTGTTCCTCAGCCAGTCCCACAGGTCCTGCTCAGAGTAGGGCTCTGGAGTGTCATAGCGAAGGTCCAAGGCTGTGCTGTTCTCTTTGCCATGTAGAGTCTGTGACAGCAGCCTACTGATGGACATATCCTTACTGCTTTCTGTCCATATATGCTTTAGTGTGGATTTGGGGCTTCCTGACTTGACAATGTCCGACTTTGAGGCGTGGGCACTTGTAACCTGTGGAAGAGAGAAAAAACACTTGGTTGGCCACATGTCTCTTTGACTTTCCAGTTTGCTTTGTGTAAACAGTCTGCAGCAACTTACACCTTAACATTATTATTAGTTTTCTTCAGTTATGCATGTTTTCAGGCTTTTCTCATTCACACATATACCTTTGAAAAGTAATGCACTACAATTTGTATGTAAACCACATAATCATGAGCTAATCATTTGTATATAACCCACATAATCAGGAAGGCTGTGATCACGTGCACTTATGGAAGTAGAGAAAGAAGTAGTCTGGGTAAGAAGGAGGGTTAAGGTGGTGCATAGGTAAAATAAAAAATGGGACTTTCCCCTAGGAGTTCGTAACCTTGTGAAACCAAGTGAATTTTGAGTTACTTTAAGTTACGTTGTCACCATGTTTCTTTTCCTAAACCTAAACTATGCAAATTTACTTGCCTAGACCTAAAGACACCTAGCCATGTTTAATTTCCTGAACCTATCTGGGTTACTTTGCTTGCCTAAACCTCCTCCAGTACTTCACATTAGTACACAACTTTACATAAAGTCATTTGTTGGGCACCACTCTGTTAGATATCATATGAACCATCAACACATTCTCACTCATGTTGGGTCATGGACTTTCCATGTCTAGATTGGATGTGCAAGGTACCCTGGGTGTGTTGGTTGCTGACGTTCTGGGACAATGTGTCAAGTTATGTTACATGCATTGTCTTCTTTCAAAATACACTTCTGTTTTCACAGGAGATTTACTGTTTACATACAGTCTCTTTCAAAATAAGCGCACGACTTTGGTACAACACTGCAAAATTACCTTTTTTTTCCATCAACAACTAACGCATGTGGTTGGGTTTAGGAGAAAAGAACAGAGTTTGGCTATATAATCTTACAAAACGTGGACACCGGTCTACTGGGTGAAAGTCAGCATTTGCTGGACCCATCTACCAATCCCGACAGTCCACTCCCTTTGGACTTTTGCTGCCTTAACTTTTGTTCTTGTCCCGCCGTGTTTCCCCATGATGCCGCCAGGTGCCATTAAACTATGACTGCAACCGGCCGCTTATCATGCCAGCGCAAAAGGGCAGCTTTTTTCATCGGTGTCTAAGGAAATTACAAAGAATATAATTCAAAAATTGCATGTGCAGAAAATAAAGCAACACTCTTAAATCAATTTTTCTGGCACATTACTTCATTTTTGGCAAGTTACTGTTACCAACTGTGCATCAGTAAAGTAGCATAAAAACCACAGGAGTGAGTATTATGTGATGTGCATTCATGTATGGGTGTGAGTGGAACATTTCTCTGTAGAGCCACTGGTGGTCAAACACTCCACACTATAAGACTTAACACACTGGTTTCCTGTTAAGTAATTCACACTCCCAGTGCTAATAGTTTAACCTTTTAGTACTACCTTTTGTGTGTAATACTGAGGGATTCTTGTTAAGTTTAAGGAGGTGGGTGGGGAGGAGTTCTCAGTTTAAGGCCCTAGAAAGTTTTGAACCAGCCCTGCCAATACAAGAACGTGCTTCTATATTGGGTGAAATCATGCGTCATGAGATATTACTTATCTATATCATCTATATCATTCAGGAAATATTGACTTTCACATTCAAGCATGCCGTTTTCCACAAAATTGACCAATCAAATGTATTCCGTGGGGGGCTAGAGAGATCAATCGTTGCTGCAAGCTTCAATTTCAAATCATGATAGCAGACAGCTCCAAATTGGGAATTATAGTGAAGCAAGCTGAGCGAGAAAAGAGAATACCGCAATCAGAGTAAAACATATTGCTCCCTTCTCCTCCCTCTGCCAAATAGAGGGAGTATCCGCTGGCTCGCACAGATAAATGCAGTGGTCGTTCAGAGGGTAAAGAGCGGACTATTAACTAAAGAGTGCTCCTTGAATTGATGATTGATGAACCCAAGGGCTTTCACTATTTAGCGCCGATGAGTGGAATTAGGCTCATACAGGCCCCGGTGGAGGTATGTGACATTGATTGCCTGATTTCTACTGTAAGACGTGACAGCAGATCTGTCTTGCTGAGGTTTTTGCATTTTGCGGGTTGCCCCGAGGATCGATGCTTGGAAAATAAGGTTTCGCTACCAATCAGTTTGAAGTGAATTGCCTCACAGCACGTCTCACAACACCATGGGGACATACAGAAAGCTTTACACATACTGTTACAAGGAGAATATACCTGTACTGTAAAGTATGTGACAGAGTGGGCAACAGAATATATATCAGTATGACTCTGAGGGGACTGAGTTTTAGATCAAAGCTGATAAGAATACACTTAATAACAGTGATTGTGTTTAACTTTTGGCCAAAATTGTTATGGTAATCACCAGAAACAAAAGAATATATAAGGATCACTATCCCAGTGTCAGCTGGGATAGGCTCATGACCCCCAACCTTCAGGTACTTCATAGACCACTGTTGGGTGGTTACTCAGCCGGTCCACCACTTTGGTCCAAACTGAAATATCTCTGAAACTATTGGATGGATTGCTATGAAGTTTTGTACAAACATGCATGGTTCACTGATGATGAATCTCATAGACTCATGATCCTCTGGCTGTTCTTCTAATGACACCATGAGGCTGAGATTGAATGGCATTCTTTAAACTGCCAGGGCATGGGAATGATCTCTACAGAGCAGAATCAGTCTGCTTTTTTTACAATCTGGTATATACAGATAAACGGGGCCTTTACCACTTGAGGAAAACACCTGTAACCATGGTAACTGTACACATCAAAGATGGCGACAGCTGTAGCCTCAGTGAATCAGTGAGTAAAGAGTTAATCTGAAAAACTGTGACATTGCATTCAAGAGTGCACTAAGTACAGACTGTTATATATATATAAGCCAGCCACCCCCCCTCCAGAGAATGTGTTCTACATTAGACATGAGCAAAATCAAAAGGAAAGAAACAAACAGAAGCCGACTGAAGTTAACAGCCCACTCAGCGGCGCTGAAAAGGGTCTCAGGGGATCTATCTTTAGCCTGAAGGGTTAAACTCAGAGAGCACTTGGCTGTGTGAGGCAGATACACTCAGCAATCATTTCCTATTCAAACAGGTGAGGTGGCCTTTGCATACTGAAGAATATCCCAGCACGGTGGAGGGTAAGGATTACGTTGGAATGGATTTATGATAATGTGCCTTCTTATGAAGAGGAGCTGGTAAAGTCCCTTTTTTCATAGTGCATTCAATAGAATTAATTAAAAAATGAACATAAAAACAGAAGACAGTGTGCTGCAGATTCAGTTGCTTCGAGGGGAATCATCTTATTTTCCCATCTTTTAATCCTCATAGAAATGCAGTCCTTGCACATGTAGTCTAATCAGCTGTAGTAAACAACATAAAAACTATGATACAGGCCAGTAGTGCAGCAGCATCAGAGCATATTTTATTTCATCTTAACCAGCAGTGGAAGATAATTTCAGATCCTCAATAGATACTAGGTGCAAGAAAGTACAATGAGCTCTGGGCCCCTGTTGGGTAAAACTACCACCCCAGGTCCTCCCGAAGTACTTAATACATCGACTAGCTGTTGTCAACCGATGTGCTAGAACCAGTAAGGAGTAATAACAAAAATGTCGACCCTTATCAACAAGACAGACGCTTCTATCTTGTCTAGCTGTTGTAAATCAGCATGTCTAGTTTGTTTTGCTCTGTTCCACTCTTATAAAAACAGGTATGTTAACATTGCAGCACATCGGTGTGGACTTAAAATGACGTTAGATTCAGGCAAATGCGTTGGTCTCTAGTGATCGGTTCGTGAAAATAGAATATCCCCCTCCCCCATGGAAATCAGTCAGAGTGGACGCAATGTTAGATTGGATATGGAGTCTCTGGGAGTCTTGGTTCTTTGGGCAGCTACATTTTTTAGTTGGGAGCTGGTTTAGCAAATGTCGTCCTAACAGAAATAGTAGTGTATTTGTTGGGGACTATTTTCAATGGCACATTCATAAAAATTAGGTGATATGGTGCCACACACTATAATCCCAATTCATCTTGGTCCGATCACCTGGGAAAAATATGGATAAACTCAGCAACAGACATGTCTATAACGATGCTATGTGTATAAAGGACTGACTAAAAATAAACTACAGTGTATGTGTTAATGGTAATAATGGAACATGTCACCCAGTGAGGCTCATTAATGTGTTTTTAATAGTTTTTGGACCACAGTGGGGCTCTATGGCACAGAGGGATAAGATCTTTTAGACTTTGACACACACACACACACACACACACACACACACACACACAAAATGCTTGTTATTAGATATTATATTGATTGTTGGGTCTGCCACAGAGTATGCTCTGCCGTACCCTACATGTAATGTTTTAAAGCCAATACATCTAGCTATTAACAAGTTGCAATTTATTCTACCTCTTAAAAATTAGCTATTCTGGTTTTGTGCATATGGTCTACTTGAATTAAATTAAAGATTTACCAGTCTGTCTCTAAAGATACTGATCATGATATATTAATGTTTAAAATCTTACATCATTAAAGAACTAGAGTGTCTTTATCCTGACTAATTGCAGTGGTGCCATATATATCCATAAGTGTGCAGTTCGTAGCTGTTTATCTGTACTCATTGTTTGTCTTGTCCAGTGGGTGGGCTCTATGCGGTGCATACAGACATGTTTATCTGTGCAGTTCTCAGGCTCAGGCATCATCCAGCATGTTTTGGGCTGAGGGCCAGTGGGTTTGCTGGATCCCGGAGCTGCCAGCTGTAGTGTGCTGACCTGAGGGAATGGTGCATCTGGTAAACATGGCCGGCACCGCGGCCAGCACAGGCCTTGCAGATACCTGACTACCGGCCAGACAGCCAGTTGGTTGCCCCCAGGCAAGGAAGACTGCTGGGCAAGGCAAGCAGCACAGTCTCTGTCTGTACCATTCAGTCCAGACGTGAATTCTTTACTGAAGCCTCTGCGCATAGTGCGGAGTACTTTTTAAATGCTCTTGACTGCTGTTAGAGTT